ATTCTATTCCTGTGACATTTGCAACGTTGGACTTTACACCCATGTTTCAAAGAATACATTGTCTCTTTTTTTAAATATTGCTGACTTTTCGTTGTTTGGACATTGAATTTTTATGAAAGACAGTTTTAATATTTTTTAATTTTAATTATGTGCTGTGTTAAATAAAATCTGCAATTTTTTTGATATTTTTCCATATACATTTAATTGTGGGATAAAGGAAATATTATATTACTCTAGAATGAATATTTTATAAAATTTTTAATGAAAATATAATAAAGTTTTTAAATTAATTCTCACAACTACCTGAATGTTATTCTCATAATGTACCAAAAATTGGAAGACAAATTTATACGAATTTTTTCCCAAAGTTAGGCTTAGCAGCGCGAATTGCCTGTCTCCACAAAACGACGTATCCAGTTAACGCACCGTCCCAAGAGAACGCTTCTGTAACAGGTGCATATTGTGAACGGGTTAAATGAATCAGTAGTCTTCCTGCCTCTGTGTCTTTGGAGAGCCTAACATCGGAATTATAGCAGAATGCACAACTAAGCAATGGAGACATGCAGCAATTATTGAAGAATTTCATGATATTTTCTTTCGCACATCTTCCGAATCAGTTTGTCAAAGCACAGAATTAACCTGGGGATCATCCACCTATCAGGCAACACACAAGACGTTAAGCCATTGTTAAACAAGAGGAAGGGAAACTTCTAAAGGATATACAAGAAAGCAACATTATCAAAACTTCAGCAAGTCCTTGGGCATCTCCCAATGTCCTGGTGAGATAGTTACACTAGATTTTGTGTTGACTATTGCCGCTTTGAGCGATGTCACGAAGTAACATAGCTAACCTCTTCCCAGAATTGACGACATTCTGGACTCTTTCTGGCAGCAAGTGGTTTTTGACGCTTGATATAAAGAGTGGATATAGTCAGGTACAGATACAGCCTGATGACCGAGAAAAGATGACATTTGCTACTGGACAAGGACTTGAGGCAATTCAAGGTGATGCCATTTGGATTATGTAATTCGCTAGCAACATTCGAACGCCTTATGGAGACTGTGCTGCGAGGTCTTTCCTACGAAGCCTATCTGATATATCTGGCTGACATCATCGTCGGGAAAAGTTTTGAAGCTCATTGAGAGAATATTAGGATTGTGCTTCAGAAATAGAAGAAAGAAGATATAAAGTCCTACCAAATGTAAATTGTTCAGACATGAATTGACTTATATTGGACATATCTTCTCTGCCGAATGTGTGTAGGAATCCAGAAAAAGGGTCAGCAATCAAAGCTTGGAGATGCCCCGAAGTTGTGCGCCAGCTGGGAAGTTTCCTGGGACTTTGCACCTAGTGTAGGAAATTTGTGAAGGACTTTTCTTTGATCACAAGATCCCTTCACAAATTGACAGACAGCAAGCTATTTTGTGCATTGATGTATCACTATTTCTACACACTTCATAAAAATCTTAACAGCTTTTAAAATAACTGTTGACTTTTAATGAAGAAAATCCCAAAATATCCTTAAGGTTCAATAGTGATTAGATGTTAATATTACTCTACTATTTACCCACAAAATTCAGTATGAATTTTATTTATTCATATTACCTTCTATTCTATTCTAACACTATAACTACTCCGAGGGGAAAAAATCTACACAAATTATTCAGATGCTCCAATTCTTACATGTTTTTTCACTAAGGAATTTACTTAGAGGGTGCATTTACAAAGTTAATGCCTAGAATGGCCTTAAGCAATTATTTTAAATTTAATTATTCTTGATTTCTGTGACTTTATCATGAAATTTAAGAATTAGCAGAGTCCCTAAAACTCAGTGTATCATTTTATATATTTTCACTGAAACACATTATTTTAAAAATGGTAAAATAAATTAATCCTTATGTAAAATTTGAAAAACAAAATTTTTTCAGTGTAGTAAATATGGGACTACAGGTAGATGATTAAGAATAAATGCTGAATCAGTGTTTTCCCCATTTATAACGTTAGAATTCTTTTTTTTTTTTTTTTTTTTTTAATTAAATTATCTGTAAATAAGATTGACTAAAAAAAAAAAAGCGATTTCTACTTAAAAAATCTGCATAAGGTATTGTGACAAGAAAGAAACAAAGGAAACTAAACTTTTTTTAAGGCTAAATTTGCAACCAAAATGGGTAACTAAAATGGCCATTGCGCATAACTCTGATCTGCAGGCTAAAAGATCTCCAAACGAATAAAAATTAATCCAAATGAAAAGAAAATATTTAGTTAAATCCAGCTAAAAAAACCATGCCATTTGGGAGGGGATGGATTAAACCTGTCCCTGACATTACACATGTACCATGAATAAAAGCACTTCATAAATCAAAACTTAGAATGAATGAAGACAAGGGATGGTTACTTCCACTTTAATGACCAGCACTTCATCTATAAGTACCATGCTTCAGCTTATGGCTAGAGCAAAATCTTTATAAAATACGAAAGCTTAGAACTCATTTAAAAGAAAAATTAAACACAACTTTCCATAAAACAAAACATGATAAAGTTCACTATTCACCATATGTATGAAAAACTCCTATGATTGAGTACTGCCATGAGAGTTTACAAAATATAAATATTAATTACTTAAGATTCCCACATGTGGGTTAAGGATACCCGATACAGTGGCAAGTCAGTCACCTACCTTATTTTTCTAATACATACTTCAGTACAAAATTTTAAATTATCTATTTATCCATTGCACACGACCACAGGCTATTGATACAACAGCAAACAAAGTATAATAAAAAATTTATAAGCAAAAACAATCCTTTCATATTTGTCAGCTATTATATTTTTTTAATGTAAGTATCTTGTTGTATAGTTTGATTTCTTTTAAACGTCTGAAAACATACCAGCTGCTTCTAATCATTAATCAACATATCAGTAGTAACTCCCCAAAGTACAAATATAAAAATACGGGATTACTAAATCATTTCAAAAACTCGGAATGCTAAGCATTTTTATATGAAAAATAGAAGAATTTAATGTTCAGATCCTTTTAAATGACTACATGCAAGCATGACTAACTTTATTGAGATAAGAGATTTTTTTAAAACTTGGTATATATCGGTTAATAATTAAAAAAATTTGCAGTCTTCAAACATGTAAATATCTTAAAGACTGGAGCTACATGAAGGAAAGTCTAAGAAAGCTAATTACATACATTTAACTAATAAATGCTGCTAAATATATAAATAGATTGAGCTATGAGCATTCTGAGTAGATTCAAAACACTGTGTCACACCGAGTTTTAAGAAAGTAACTAGATTTCCATGTACATCTCATGTCGAATTCGATCATTAGAAATCAATTACAGTCAAATACTGCAAATCCGCTGACCTGAAATCCGCGTTGCCTCTCAGAATAAACATTCAGTTTATAGGTTATGGAAACCGCAACATTGAGTACGAAATATTGAAGAAAAAATACTTACCGAATAATGACGTCATAATTAGCGAATAATAATGAGTCAAAACGGAAATACCAAATTATTGATATAAAAAAGTTTAAAAAATAAGATAAAATAAATATGATAAGATTTTTTCCCTCTAATCTGCATCGAGGTAAAAAAGCAGACGATTCACTTTTTTGTTCAAGTTCACGATTCACATTGTTGTATTTTCTGAGCTTTGTTATTTCATTTCACGAGATTGTTTAGAGCTGCCTTTTTTTTATCAGGAAATTTTGTGGATAAATTAAGAATATTTTAAATTTCAGCCCTTTTTAATACAATAACAGATATGAAATGCACTCGTGATTTTACTCCTTGCAACTTTGAAAAACGTAAACACGTTGCATTGACGGTAAAGCAAAAACTTTTGCAGTGCAAATTCTGCAAAAGATGGAAACAGGTGCTACTCCTCGATTTATAGTAGAATGGTATGGAATTGCGACATGATTGCGTATGATTATACGAAAAAATAAAGAAAAGGTGTTGAAATTTTACAGCAACAGTGATTCTAACACCGGAAATCTTTGCACGAGGCAAAATCAGCAAACCTCGATGCTGTGTACATATAATACAATGATAATATAATCAATTTATATATGTAATAATAATTTAATGCATATAATAAATTATTGCAATAATGTATATAATAATTTAATTAAATATATCTAATACGCCTTATTCATTTTGCACTTTTAGTCCGAATATTATGCATTATCTTTTCTGTCCTGAAATCCGCACAACCTCTGGTCCCAAGCTTTGCGGATTTCTGGAATTCTAATGTATTTGAATTTCAAAAAATCAGACTGAAAGCTGGAATGCAGAATTCAAAATTCTTAGGTCATTGAAACAAAATTTAAGTTGCTTAAAAATTTTCATCACAATTTAACTGTTACTAAAAAAAAATTACTCCAATAAACGATTAAAGGTCTATTTACCCCCCGCATGAAAAATACTTATTACATTTACTCTCCCATTGGTGTACTAATATCGTCTCTTGAAATTCAGTGGAAAAAATACATGTTGTACATCACTTCTGACAGGAAGAGTAATGAAAAACACACAACATTCCAAAAGCATATTCAAATAGATGTACTAATTATTGTATTCTATATTTATAATAAATTAGATAAAATTATTAAATATGCTATTATTTTTATGTACACAATGTACTTACAGTCTTGCATATATATTTTGTTGTCACAAATCAGATGTTTCTAAATCTTAAGTTGGAAAAGGAGAGGAGGGTAGATTATGTGATGCGTTGATTTATTTGATTATGGCAAAGTACTAGATGGCTATCTGTCTATGGGCAGGGATACCTTCATGGAGGAATTTCTAAGGGAAACTGGCTTGCATACACGGATTATGCAATGGGGCGAATTAAGTGAGTAAATATGGTATTTAATTTAAAACAGGTATTGGGTGTCTAATACAAATCAATGTCTCCCATTTTTAGCTTAACACGGAATTTATTAAAATGGGAAAAAATTCTAAGAAATTGATGAAAAAATATTTTGCTCGACTAGAATTTATTATTATTAATAAAACACTTTTATCTTTACATGTAATACATAAAATATTTAAAGCTTCTTTACATTATTCTATGAAATTGACTAAAAAAGTATATTTTATTGTACACAAAAACATGTAGTTACAAAATTAGTATAAGAACATCACACTGTTTCATTCAAAATTATGAATGAAATGTTGCATTAACATCCAATAAAATTCTTTTGATTGCATTCTTAATACATACACTTACATATTGTATATTTATATGTACACTTTGGCATATTTGACTATTTATATTCAAGATAATGTTAAATAAGAAATCACAAATTCAAGAGGATCATCTTCCATATCACAAAGTCACTTCAACTCCTCGTACCAAGCGTCCTTTAAATTGCCAAACATACTGAAAGAAAACAGAAATGTGAGTAGATAAACACAGTTTTTGAAAATGGTTATAAAATAATTGACTAAAAAGCAATGATCACAGGAGCTTAATTTTTTAGATTATTTTTCAACTTCTATTTTTCAGATAAAATGGGTAAATTTACGACAGTTTGGAAAACATGCAAAAATATAAAATAACATTATGCATTGCAAAGACTAGTACATGTAGATGAAATGTTTTGTAGTTAAATAGAGTAGTATTCTTGAATGAATAAATAAGAATAATAAAAGAAATATTTTTGTAAGTGAAAGTATTCAATCTGCATTCAATATTATGTAAACATTTTCATGTACAACCAAAAAAACCTAATTTTAATGAACAATTTTGTCAAAATTATTTAGAACAGGACAAACTAACATAATGGAAAATTATTTTAACAAAACAATTTAATAGCTGTCATTCCCATTAAACCTTAATTCTTAACTTTTGTTATTTCAAGGATTCTTTGGACTAACCATATAACAAACACGACACTCAGTACATACATATAAAAACAAGAACAGTAACATCATTACAAAAAGAATAAGCATGTAAATAAACAATTTTCCATACTACTACTGTACCAGAATATATTATTATTCAAACATAATTTGCAACTTTTTAAGGCAATAAATATTTAATCAAGCAGTGAGAGATGTAAAAGTAAAACAAAAGTACTCATATTGTAGATTACATAGTATAACATTTAGATATTTCACAACATAAATTTCTTTAAATACTCTGCTTTCACAAATATTTTAAGGTTAATAAAAATACTTTTCTTAACATAAAAACGAATAGTATCAAAATGTTTCATAAAGAAAGAATAAAATGGTCACAGTATTATCTACCAAGGCATACTGTTGGAGAAAGATTTTTATTACTATATTCATTACACAAAAATGAAGAGGCCTATACTGAAATGCTTTTATGGTGAAAGTAAAAGTAACTCTGAAAGTTTGTTATCTTATACACTTTCAACAGCGCTACTAGCTTACTGACACTTTCAACAGCGCTACTAGCTTACTGAATTTAAACTGATACCTTTATTGGTAAAAACACAATGGATATAACTGTTACTTGGAACAAAATCACTCCCAACACCATTATCACCTTTTTTTTATAGATGTTACTGCAGCTATGAAAAGTAATTATCACAGGAACAAAGAGACATCTTCAAACATCCTTGCATTTATGCTTCGATGCAAAAACTTAAAAGACACTTGAATATTCGTTACTTTAAAAATTACAACTGCCAATCAACAATAGCTAAATCTGAACAGATACCAAAAGCAACTCTTAAGAAAACTGATGAAAACCACTGCACAACAGCTTGATTTACCAAAGTCCACAATCTGCTGCACAAACATTTAAAAAACTTCCAATTTAAAAAATACTAAACAATTTGCAACATTCCCTGGAAACATGCTCTCATAGTAAGAACTACTTCCAGTAGGCAATATTTTTCCTACATATCGAATACATTTGATGTATGATGATGCATGTAGTTAAAACAAGCAGAAGTAAGGAACATAATGATTAGACTTCTCTTCTCCCAGTGCAAATGGTACAGATTTTTCACCTTTTATCTTTTAGACTTGGAAAACGTACAATTTTCCCATGTGGGTATTGTTTAAGAGAGTTACAGAGAAGTTATTTTGTTTTGATATTGTTCACTATTCATAGTGTGCTTCCTTGTTTTGGACTACACAGCTAACTGTTGCTCTAAAACTCAGTTCTATCCTAGGTCTTAGATTATTTAATAGTTCTAGGCAGATATTAGCAGAAAAGCCATTCAGAGTAGCAAGATTTTTTTTTAACCAATGGTGGGCCCTCAGCCAACTTCAGCTTTGCCACTACTAAAGCCAGAAATGCTAGTCACTTTATTATGGAGGCACCTTACAGGGGGGCCACCTTTGCCTCCGATGAAGGGACAGACAGTTACAGCCATGCCTTCTCCAGAATTCAAAACCGGGCCCTTTCATATTGCAGTTCGCTCCCCTAAACACTATACCATCAGGGCGATGAGTAATGAGATTTTACGAAGCATACGTTTGGTTACATTGCTAGACCTTCTGCTTTCATTGCTTTAGTCTCATTATTTCCCATCTTTTACATTTATCAGTGTTGAGACTGATTTGTGCTAAGATATAAGTATGTAGACTAGAAAATATATACATGGTAAACATTCTCAATGGAGAATATGAAATTGTGTTAAAAATACTATTTTTGCTGAAAAACAAACCTATAACTGCAATTAATGCTAAGGATAAAGGCAATACAGCTAAGGATCACAAAGCAGACAAATCTGCTAGCAACACACAATACACAAGTTGGATTAAATTAAAAATGTTGCAGAATGTTTTTACATCTGATCTTAAGAGAGAATGAGTAAATAATGTGGTAAAAATACTGAGCCTATATTTTTCAAAGTTATTGAGCACATGAATCCTAATGATAAAGTCAAAAAACAGCTAAATAACAATCTGATTAAAGAATCAAGGAATGATGAAAACAATGCAACTACTGTAGATATATGTCATAATAAGAGCAAAGGAAAAAAGACGGAGCAGTGTAGATGCGTGATTAGATCCATATTGAAGAAGAATTTTGATTGTGTAGTATTTAAAGAACTTGGTAGTCGAGGCAGTTTTAATTCCATTTTTATTTCCAGTTGATACTTGTGGCCACAATCACTTGGCACTCTAGTCGTGCCTTCCACAGAAGATTACATTTTGATATTGTGGGATAGAAGCAAGCAGCAAAATTACATCTTACAAAAGCTGAAGTGCGTTGGGAAGTGGGGGGGGGGGCGGGGGGGGGGGGGGGGGGGGGGGGGGGGGGAGGGGGGGGGGGGGGGGGGGGGGGGGGGGGGCAAAGGGGGGGGGGGGGGGGGGGAGGGGGGGCGGGGGGGGGGGGGGGGGGGGTGGGGGGGCGGGGGGGGGGGGGGGGGGGAGTGAGGGGGGGGGGGAGGGGGGGGGGGGGGGGGGGGGGGGGGGGGGGGGGGGGGGGGGGGGGGGGGGGGGGGGGGGGCGGGGGGGGGGGGGGGGGGGGGGGGTGGTGCGGGGGCGTGGGGGGGGTCGGGGGGGGGTGGGGGGGGGGTTTGGTTTAAATTCGGTGATTGGTCGTCAAGAGGCATTGGTATTAACGGTTATGTAAGATTGCATGATTAATTTGAATGACGCAATGCAGATAAGTTATTACGATTGTAGAATAGAGAGGAAGAATTAATCGTTATAGTTATATTATAATTCTGATTCATACATTGTTATCTTATATATGCAGGATAGTTAGGAGCAAGAAGCACAGGAGTTTCCTAAAAAGCAGTTGGAAATCTCACATATTACAGTTACAGATAAAAAAATTACTGGTGAAATCATTAAACAAATGCTTGCACAAGCTGGTGTATCAGATTACAATGCCAAATTTGGCAGAGAAAGAAATTTCAAAAACACTATAAGTGAAAAAGTCACATAAAAAATTACAACTTTACTTTAGTAAGCAGATCAAACTGGAAATGTTAAAATTGGAAAAATACTGCATTTCTAATACATATTGTGACCATTTAAACCTCTTTAGTGAATAAGTTAGACTTTCATGGAAAAATACGAATTCAAATACACTTCATCGATACAAGTTATAACAAAAAACAACTATTCTATGCATTATATAATACATTAATAAAAACAATACATTCTATTATGCAAGATCTCATTATATGAAAATGCAAAAATTTCATTTCAATTTAGCAACAGTTTCATTGAATGTATAATACACTCGTTACTTTAATAATATATGTGACTTTCAAGAATACAAAATTATAAACAATCTTGATCAAAACTAATCACAAAAATGCATACCTTAACATCATCAATTTCAACACCTTTTTTTCTTGCAATTTCTATAACTTCCCGAGCTATATTTTCTTGTGACGTACCTTTTACATCAATATAATCACATTCACATGCAGCATAATGGCAAGATATGGCCTAGTAAAATTGATTCAAAACCAAATAATTACTTATTGATGATTTAAGGTAAAGCTGCATAAAAGAGAATTAAATAAAATTATAATAGCAAGAACTTCGTTTTAAATAAAATTGGTTAGTAAAGAATTAATGAAATAATTTATAAATAAAGAGTTTTTACAATAGCAAATTTCAGCACAATTTTTTTTTCTTTTCTTTTTGGTTTAAACTAAAACACACACAGAGATAAATGGCTTTAGTCTATTCCCTTTCAGTCTCTTTTAATTATACAATTAAAGAATATTAGCAAGTAATATATCATTGATGAAATCATAATTTTCAAAATGAGTTCTACTGGCAATCTTGAGGCATTAATAACTGATGATCATGGCTAATACTTCTTGGTCAATTAATTTTAAAGGTGTGCATGTATTTAACTGCTGAAGTATTTTAATAACGATTTCTCATGTATGGCAGCATGAGAAAATACTGAAATCAGAAAAGCACAACAGATTTTGAAAAGACAAGTCTTCACATGCAAATGGCTTTTTCAATTTAATATCACAGAAAATGATAGGTTAGAACAAATGACCATATTTTTTAATAATTTGATAATATTGTGACATTTACTTTGATGAAGGATAACACAAATTTTCTTTACATTTGTACAGCATTTTCTGTATGTGTAATGATTAAAGTTATTTTCAATATACTATAACAAGGATAGGGCTGACATCTAACTGTGTGTCCATGATTCACATAATTATTATCACAATAGATGACAAAATTGCAAATGCTTCAAAACTGTCCATTTTTTGGTCAACAGTGGCAGAAGATTTTATGAAAAATTTTAAACTTTGTACAAGATTTATATAATCTAACATACAGAGTGTTTCACAAAGAGCCCCTAACTTTAAATAAATTAGAAACGATGACAGACAGAAGCATGAAACCAGTGTATGTTTAAATAAATGTTAAGAATTGGATATATGAACATCAAAATTTTAGTCAAAATTGCATTGACAGATGGCACTGATGATAACATTACATATTCTTATACAGAGAGCACAGATGGCAAGAATGATGAGTCATTGTAGATTTGCAACTGAAATGTGACTACTATAAGCACACAGTGAAAAATTCTGGAAGTGATGTTACTCCATGATGAAATGTGTGTTTACTGTGTTGGAGTACTACTGATTAAAATAACACTATAATGCTACAAGCAGAAGCTTTTCAAACGTGGTTTTAAGTCACAAAAGGCTCGGACATGGGGAAACAACTTGCGAATTGTTCAAAAAATTTCAACACTCAAACAGTGTGGCAGATGCATTAGTCAAAAATGTGGGTTCCACCAACTCTGCTCTTACGCCTGAAAATGCAATAATATTTGCTGAAGTTATTAAGCATCATAAAATTAAATCTGCCCATGGACTGACAGCTGAATCTGGAATCACACCATTCAGACATGCAAAATCCTGTGGAATGTATTACACAAGTCTCCATACAAGATTCAATGCTGGCATGCCATACCAGTTTGAGCTGAATGACGAGAGGATTTCACTAATGAGATGCTCAAGATGATTGATGGTTCTGGTTTCAATCTTGCCCACATATGGTTCACAGACAAGGTCCATTTTCATCTGCAAGGTGTTATTTGGAGATTTTGGAATACCAAAAGCCCCCATTTATTTCAATGCATAACCAGCCCATTACCCAAAATTTATTGTTTGGTTTGTAGTCTCCTGCAAAAGCATCGCTGGACCCTTTTTAATGCAAGAAACGAATACTTACCAGTATACTGCAATATTGAAACAATCTGTCGCCACTCAACAAGCATTGGACAACTAACTGACCAGGCTTAGGCAAGGTTCACACAGAATGTTAAACTATTCGACAGTTAAGGGAAAAGGAATGGAGTGACTTCTGTATTCACCTCTGTGACTACTTTCTATGAGATACACTCAAGAACACTGTTTAATGGAAAAATCATTTAACACTTAATAAGCTGGAGGAGGCTATTTGGCAAGCTTGTGCATCAGCTTCCAGTGGCACACTGTAAATAGTCACTGACAATTTCACTCTTCGCTTGCGACACGAGTGTTGTGTGACAGGTATACATCTTAAATCACTATTCATGTGAATGCAACAAACGCTTGCATTACCCAGTACTTATTGCCTACTTATTGTAATGTCACCTGCAGCACCATTGGCACAATTTGTAACTAATATTTTGAGTTTTCTGTAGCGGGTTCTTAATGCCATTTTAATAAACATACCACTGGTTTCATGCCTATATCTATCCCCATTTCCAAGTTCTTTCTTTTCAAAGTTAGGAGTCCTTCATGAAATGCTTTGTATAAAACTGCTTGATCAATCCCACTCTTAATTTTGCTTCGAGTTACTGAGTATAAAAAATTTTTTAAATCAGCAGATACTGAATATTCCATGTATAGATGAGATTTGCTTCTGCTCAGAAGCAGCAATCAACACCCATAACTTGTCACATATCACATTCAGAAAACTTTCATGATATTCAATAACAACAATTAACTAAAGATGTATGCAATGGCATGGCATGGATTTATTACCAAGCCCACTTCTAGAACACTTTGTGCCAACACTACAAGAATGTAGATATCTGGGACAGTAGCACTCTAATGCAAGATAAAGCAACAAGTCCATACATAAATACAAGCTAATTTGTGCTATTTAGTGATTCAATGTGTTGTTTCAGGAATTTTCCCTGATTACCAGCTCTCAAACCTTGTGAATTCTGAAAAGATCATACTTAACAAGGACCACAATGGAGATTAAATGGTAGCATAATTCAACATGCCTTCCAGTTTCCTCATGAAGTGCTGCATGAAGCAGTTCAGAGCACACAATTTAGTAATTTTATTCTTGTAATAATTTTTTTTTACTTGTCTTACAAATTTGCAACCACATTTGCCCTTGGTGGCAAAAACTAAAACTTTTTTCTTTGTAACACCTTCCCCATGATCTGCATAATTTTTTTTTTAACTAATTGATTAAAAACCAGTTTCTACATGCCTTTGAGTATTGTCAATTTAATTAATAATCATGTTTCTATATTTAAAACATAATACGTTAGCTTACATTAATTATGAAAAAGTACATTAGAGCTACCTAATATACTAAGGAAGGTTTTAGTACAAGACTTTCTACAAAACACCGGCTCCCATTTACATTCCATGTGAAACCTCCAGATGTCTATCTAATTTACTGGTAAAACACAAAGATAGCAGAAAAATATATAAATAGTTATCAGTTGAAGGGGTGCTGAAAATCAATAAAAACTACCACACATTATACATTAATGAACTAGTCATCATATGCAAACATGCCCAAAGGATAAGAATGAACATTATATAGAAAGTTACTACCACAGAAAGTGATGAATCAATATTTGGGAATTTTACATACTTAACCCCCTGCTTGGCATAACTGCCTTTATGCAGTCATGAGATTTTTTTGTTACCAGCGATACATTAGTTAATAAATATTTAGCTTTCTTACTTTCTCTAATGATGTAAATATTAACTTAATGAATCAAAATTTGTGAAAACAGAGATTACAATAATTAATTGTGTCAATTTAACTTATTAATGCTGTTTAAATACAGGTCTTTATGTGCAGATCCAAAGAGCCATAGCACTCGGAGGATTAAAATGGCAGCTAAAAACTGGTTAACATGCAAATTTCCAATTCTTATATTTAGGAGCTACAGAATAGAAAATAAAATAAGAACTACTGATGAACGGCCTTTGTCAGGTATTTTGGATACAAAACATTTAAATCTATAAATGTGAAATTTTATCATATTTCAAAGACATATTCTCAATGATTTTACATATAAATGAATTATAGGAAACTAACTAAAGTAAGCCTCAGAATTGGCAATATTGCAATTGAGTTTGGAAAAGCACAAAGTTGTTTCCAGGCTTTGGGTAGCATTTCAGACTAGTAAAAAGTGTTCCTATAAACCAACGATTCCTTCCTCTAACGACTGTACAGGAAAACTTATGTTTAGCAGTAAAAGCTAAACACATTTGATACTAAACAGCTAACAATTTGCAAGATATTGCAGTACAAAAATACGGATATTTTATAAAATTATAGCTATATGTTTGAAATACATAAGGCTACGTGACCAAAGACCAATCTTTCTGTGTGGTGCTATCAAGACAGCTGGTATGGAGGCATTTGCAGTTATATCTGATGCAACAGAACTGAGTAATGCAGAAATGATCTAATGTCTTATTCTCTGATGATAACAGATTCAGTATGCCAGACACAGAATAGATTACCATACTGATCGGTTTATCTAGCCTGAAACTGACACGGCATGCCTGCAGGAAAGACTTCTGGGGAAGAGGTTATGGGTGAGGCAATTTCAGTTATGGATTCACAGCCACAAGTGCTGAACAATGACAGCGGCTATTATATGTCATGGATTTGTTCTTGATGCCATTGGTAATTTCCTTTTTTAGATGATAATGCCATGCTTCACTTTACCAGAGCAATGAAAAATTTTCTTTAAAATTATGATACTCATTGAATCAACTGCCTTGTATGCTCCTCAAATCTTAATGTCACAAAGCATATATATGGGAGATTAGAGAAAGCTCGCTCTTCTTCAGAAGAAAATAAACAAATCTTGGTCCACGGTCTAAAAGAAGAAACAATTATTTACCAAGGGAGGTCTTAATTTAAGCTGGATATACCGAATTGTCAAAAATCAAATTTTCTTAGCACTACTAAGTACATTTCATCCATACTTCAATTATACCCAACTCTTGTGTGTACTGCTCCTGAAAAATATTTTCTACTACTGCTTTGATTTGTTACTTCCAACATGCTGGTTACATCCTGTGCTAGGTATTGGAAAACAGTTTGAAACATTTATCTCTATACTTGCAAAAATGCCACTTAGTCTTTGGTTTTCGACATATGCATACACATATTTACTAAATTATATATCAGCAGTGAAATATAGTAAAATGGCTTAATAAATTAAAATTGATGAACAGATTATTTAATATAAGCTTGAAAATTTATAAAAGCAAATACCACAAAATGCTACTTAACAAACAAACAATACCTTTCTGAATCCATTTGTTCTGTTTGCTCCAGATCCATGAATAAGCACAGGATGAAAAAATACTGTATCACCAGCTTCCATTTCTAAGTAAACTCTTCTAAGCATATCATTTTTCTCTAAGTGTGACACTCCATGGTACATTTTGTTTACTCCACTCTTCAGAAACAAAAATATACAGCTTAATTTATCTTAAAAAGAATAGGTGCAAAGTGAATATTAAATGTTTTAAATGCAGAAGGAACACAAACAACATACAATTATACACACATATTTACCCCATAAATGAAACATTTTTAGAATTGAAACGAATATTCCTTTTATAATTTTATTAACTATATTTTTCAATAGTAGCAAGCTAAAGAATACTTTCAATTCATGAAAATTCCCTTAACAGGTATTTTCGAGATTATTTTAAAGCCTAGGAAAAAGTACAGGAACACTTTCCATGATAAGCTACATTAAATCAGATTTTCAGACACAAAACAGTATAAATAAAATTAAATGAAATACTGCTTTCAAAGACAACATGAAAGAAATATACCAAAGAAACAAAATTAATCATACTGATTTGAGCGATACAAGTACACATAGTGAGGGGAAATAAAAATTTTTCACATTTATTTCTAAATTTTTATTTTAGTTTTCTGAAATTTTGCTTTGGCTTGACATATAGTGACTTAAACAACAAATAATTTTATTATAACACAGTTTTAAATACCTACAGGTTAAACATAAATTTATTAATATATAAATAACTATTATACACTTTAGCAGAGATGGTGCTTAAAAATACTTCCCTGAAGTTCATGGTTGCAGTTTGCCTATGCATTTGAAATAGCATAACAGAAAATATAAATTAAACATTTTGCTATGCATTTCGGTTAAATTAGAACAGCGGTTGCCAACTTTTAGAACTTCATGGACCACTAAATGTATAATTTCGCATTTGGCGGACCACTAATACGAGTTTAGAAAAAAATGGTAAATACATTTATATAATAATAAGCAGAAACTTTTGTTTTATTAATGTGAAATGCATCCATTAATGTTAACAGAGTTATACAGTAATTATTTAAAGAAATGAAAAATTTAGGTTTATTAAATATTACACATTTTTAGCATGATATTCGTTTGTTTGTTTGAAATCAGTTTGTGGATTTTTGGTTATAATGATATCACTGCAAGACGAAGAGCAACGTTTATTTCAAGCTGAGACCTGTACCGAGTTTTAACAGCTGTTACAGATGAAAATGTTTTTCCGCACAAATATATTGCTGAAAATCGAATTAAAATTTTCATTGCTTTTTCACTCAGAGACTTCACTTCATTTTTTACAGACAGGCAATAATGAAGTCTTTATAACGATGACTAGAATTTAGTTTTTAAACTGTCTCGCAAGACAGATCTATCTGGCTTTCTTTTCCATTCATGCTTAATTTGCTATCTTCAGTGTTTGCTGAAAAATGAATCTGCCTAGGGTCTTCTAGCTTTAGGTAATAAAAACCAGAACATTCTGTCAGTAACTGGAAGTGCTGTTGAATAATGGATACCACTTGCAGGTTGAGATCATTCTCTCCTATATTATCATTAAAATTTATTTGTATATTTCCTTCTACAGTGTTTGCCACAGTGATATTTTTTGAAAAGCATCTATTTTACTCATACTGTAAACACGTGCTTAAGTTGTCCTTGCATATGTTTAGTTCAGTTAACAGAGGAAAATCATCTGCCAGGTATGCAAGCTTGGTTACACATTCAAATTGTCGGAGAAGAATTCTTGAAATTCCGGATTATTTTGTTGCTGAAAAATAATTTGATTTCTTCATGCAGGATGCATAGTCATGTCAGTATTTTGCCCCTTGAAAGCCATCTCACTTCAGTGCGAAGAAGAAGGTGAATATATTGGGAACTTTTTTCTTCACAAAGTGTTTCAAATAGTCGAGAATTAAGCATTTTGTGTCGAATTTCATCTGTGATATTAATAAGATCTGGTAATACTTGGTGTAGTTCTGGGGACATTTTTCGTCCCCATAAGATGCTCACTATATAATGCAGTGTGTAGACCAACATTTTTCATCTTTGCAACAGCTCATGAGCGATGTCAGTCATGTTTAGTTATTTCTTCAAGTTTATACAGTGTTAGCAGACTTATTACTTTCAGTTAAGAACAACTTTCAGTTTCTGTACAGCTTTTTTTCCGCAAAACCTCTTCACAGGCTTGCAATATGCAAGGCTTGAATAATTCTCCTCTGATCGTATATGGCGTTTTGTTTTTCTGTATTTGAAGTGCTATCAGATAGAAAGCCCTTGATAGAGACTTATAGCTATCTGAAAACCATAAAAAATTGAAGAAAATTATTAATGTGTGAAAAATGTCCGTAAAATGCATAAATTATGTCCTAATTTTCTGTGGACCATTAAAAATTTTCATGGACCAGTGGTTGGTGACCGTGGGATTAGAATACAGAGTATACAGAAAATGAATATAATAAGAGTATTTTTTCCTAAAAACTAAAGATATGAAATATATTCTAATCAACTTTTGGCTCTTGCAGTTTTCTGATTATGTAGAATAGGGGGGAAAAAATCCAAACAAGCTGTGCCAAACTAAATCTATAATAATTTTTTTTTTTGAAAATTCGATACTGTTTACAAATCTTAATAGAAATTTTTCTTGTATAAATTTATGCTATTCCATACCATAGACCAGTAGTTCTCAATTGGTGGTACGCAAGAGAAAAATAGGTGGTACACAAAGAAAACGTATTTTTAAAAATTAAATTCAAAAACCTGGTAAAGGAAAATAAAAATTGATAGAAATTTCCTGTGATTGAACTCGAAATGAAGATTTCAAAAATAATACACTTGTTAACTTTTGCCTGAACAGAAAAATAACTTTAAAGGCATTTCAAATAAAGCAATTAAATTTTTATTCTTTTTTTGCACAAACTATCTGTGTGAATAAGGATTTTCTTCTATGTTATATTTAAAAATTAAATGCAGAACAAAATTAAAAGTGGATCATAATTTCCTGTTACAACTATGTGAAATAAGAACAGACACAAAGAAATTTGTCTTTCTTAAACAAATTTCACACTTAATTTTAGAATTAAAGTATTATAACTTAAATTTTGATAATAAAAATGGTAAACAATTTTAATCTATTTTTTTTACATATGCATATTTGATACAAATAGCCAATAGGTTGTGCAAATGGCAAAATATATTTATTTTTATTATTTCTATGGAGCAAATGAAAAATAATCATTGTAAAATGTAGCGGTGGTGCTTAAGTTTTTCAATTTTTATTTAGATGTTGCGTGCTAGTCTAAAGGTTGAGAACCGCTGCCTTAGATGACTTTTTATTGTGCTTATAGACTGAGCAATATTACAAAGTACAGATGTTCAGCCAGAATGCGGTGACAGGCACATACTCTGTGTATCTCTAAGTTAACCTATGGGGATGGTGATAGTTTAGGTGGAAAAATGTTTCAGTTACTTTAAGTAAAACAAAATCTTAAGAAAAACAACCAAGATGTTTTAAGTTAAGCAAATGTTCAAGTAAAACAACATCTTGGTCTAGATGAATATCTACATTGCTTTACAGTTGCTAAGGAACAGTGAAAGTGTTCTACTCGTGCTCAATGGCTGAGATGAAGTCTTGAGTCTTTCACAGGCACAAGTATACAAAAGAGAAATAAAATCTTGGCTAATCATTTTTATCCAATGACACGTAGGTCTGTTGCAATGTCTGAGGTTTGTTGATAGTGGCAATTTAGTAACCAGTTTGTTAAGTTGTTGAAAGAACACCATCAAAGCTATTAACATTACCTTCAGCATTTAATTACATGTCTTCAAGCAAGAATGTACAGCTCCAATATTTATAACAGCTTTACTGGCTTGACAAAATGTAACTTTACTTTGAATTATTACAGCAAATGATACCATGAATTGTTACAGCAAATGATATTATAACTGTCATAAGATATGACAAGCACTATCTAAAAGATGTATGATAAGCTTAAAAAATCGTGGATTTCTTAACCATTTCACACGATCAAGTTGCGCCTACCACTCACAGCATCTTTAATCAAGTTTTAAACAAAGTTCATGAAATAAATAGCCATTAGTGCACTGTGGCAATACGGCAGTATTTCAGACAAAAGTTATTTAAAAAACAAATAACATCTTGGTCTTTAACATAATTCATCAAACAGGTTTCAGAAAATGAGCCCATTCTTTTTCAGCACATAGTAAATACTCTTTTTAAATTGTAATAGTGCAATCTTAATTTCCTGTAGGACTAAGGTATGCCATTCATTCAGAAACATAACTTACTAGATATCACTCACTCAAGATGTGTAATGATTTACTCAGTCATTAATTCATCTGATACTACACAAGAAATGATGTACCTTCTTCAACTAAAGAAGGTCCATCAAATTTCTTTCATTGTCAAATTTAGTATGGATCAGCTGATAAGCAAAGGCTCCTATTATACTTGGCATCCTAGATTTAATAGTTGAAGCTTTGTAGATAACTTAAATCTGAATTGAAACAGAACTCAATGCATACTTGAATAAAAGCTATATGTACCTCTGATGGGTATTATTACCTTCTTGCTTTCTGTGATAGAATGCAATGGTGGACACTCTAAGCACCTATCTGCATACAGTTTTTTTTAAATACATTCACTCTGTAAATGCGTTTCATGCTTAAAAAAAAATGTGATTTAGTATAGGTTTGGTTTGGTTTATGTCATTATGGCAAAGCACATGAGATCTAGTATTGCAATGCAAAACTATTTATAAATTTTTTTATGTTAAAAAAGCCCTCAACTTATAATAACTGCAAAGAAAAAAGCCATTCAAAACAGTACATTAACTAAATTGTTAAAAATAAATTAAATGTTTCTGATGTTCTCAAAATTCCCCTTGTGAAACAATTTCAGATTTAGCTAACTGGTCACTTCAATTTAAGTAAATACATAAAAAAAACTGTAATACACTATTATCACTGCAATATATATTTTAGATCCAACATATGAAATGAAATGAAATAAATGAATATGACAAAAATATAAGGGATCAGCTTTCATATTCAATTTCTCTCAATTCAGATAGAAATATGAACCATTATCTACTTTCCAGCACATGATTAATTAAGATTTTTAAATATTTTTACCTCCCAATCTGGATAATCATGATGAAGTAATTCCCCTTTATGAGTTCCTGGAATGGCAACTAAACACCCATTTTCACGGTTGACTTTTTCCATAGCGGTCCATGCACATACAATTTTATCAGCTGGTCTAAATGGAAAGTAGTGCAAATCTTGATGAAGAGGATGACGTGAAGTCAAGGTACCTATCAAAAATTAAAATGAAAACTTAATCTTTTTTAGAATCACTAGACACAATATTGGTGAATAATAATTTTTAATAACAAAATTTACACACATACTAATGTGATAAAAAGGCTGGTACATATGAGTTTATGTAAACTATATGGTAGCTCTACTTATGCATATTATCAGTTATGTGACTACTACATATATGGAGTTATAGACATGTGTGAAAGCTTTTGGAGTTACTGGACTTGAGAATGACAATTTCTTGTCACTTAAGAGACTTTTAATGCAGTCTAATACATGCAACACATGAGATTAGGCATAATATTTTGGAGGTCGAGATGAAATTTTCACGCATGATCATTTCAAGAATATGTTGCGACTGCAAGAATTTCACAAAACTCTGAACTTATGGCACAAGTGTGCTCACTGAAAGGAATGGTGTGCAGCCTGATAAACTCAAACAGCTTCAATAAATATCTGCTTGGAGACTAGAATACTTCCTTAATCATATGAGCTATAAGAACTGACATCCAACCAAAGAACCTCTGAAGTAAGCATGACAGACATACACAGCTCATTTCAGCATTGTAATTTAGATACTAGGTATTTCATGACTACCTGAAACAAGCAGCCTGATCTGACCAGCCATATCCAAATGCTTCGTGTGGAAAGACCTGCCTATGCAGAAAACCATGCCAATCATTTATGGATCTTATATGTCAACACAAAGCTGTACACTGTGGTGGCCCGATAATAGTAAGGAGTTTGTTTAGTCAACAATCAATGGGGCCCAATATGTCTTATTAACATTTCTAATAAGTAAATGCTAGGTCTACAACCTTTTTAATGAATTACAACTGTTCATATCCAGCATTAATTTTAATGGGATCAGCATCTTTGGGCAAATAACGTCAGAAGCTAATAGATACCAAATTATACTTAGCATAACATATATCAGTTTGGAGTGTTCCCATGGTCACCTAAATTATGATACATTAACATTATCAAACATACATGGGATGTCATGTAATAAGCTATGAACAACAGAAGTCCAATAATTTAAAATACAGCAAAATTATAGAATGTTCTGCAGGAAGTATGGTATTCATTACATACAGAATACTCTTGTAGATTCTACTGATCTGCAGTTCTAGGTTCCCATGAAGAAACTCCAAAACATTAATATATACAGGGTGTTCCAAAAAAGAATCATCTGTTTTAAAAAATCTCAATTATTTGGTTTTCAATCTGTTTTGATCAAATAATGTATAGGTAGAAAGAGGAAATCTCGAATGCCTTGCAGTTGGGAACTGGTTGCGCTAATGCTTTTCTTCTGCCCACCATTTTCAGTATTTGTCTAGATGGTGACCGCACAACAGAAATCATTTTGTGTTCTACATTTTGAAAAGTGTGAGTCTGTAACAATTGTTCAGTATGATCTTTGGTGACAATACCCTAGTGTTTAACAACTGACGGCTCACAGCATTAGATGATAGTATAACCAATTCCAAAAGATGGATTATCTGTGTAAAAGGAAATCACCAGTCAGAAGAAAATGTGGAACACATCCCACAGAATTTTCCATGTAGATCACAGAAATCCACTCATTGTATCGGTAAGGAACTCGACATTCCTACAACATCTATTTGGCATGTTTTGCGGTAACATTTGTTTTCAAACCATACAAGATACAATTCTTGCAAGCTCTTCATACAAGTGATAATGACGTCCAGAGTTTTGCGAATTCATCCTTCAGAGTATGTCACAAGATGACAATTTTTGAACATGCTTCATGTTTAGTGATGAGGCTATTTCTCACTGAGTGGCAAGGAAAACCATCACTAAATTAGAATGTGGGATATGAAGCAGCCACACCAAATTGTACAGCATGAGAGAAACCCATAAAAAGTAGTATGGTTCCCTTCTTTCATAGAGGTTACTGTTATGGGAATCACATATCTCAATATGCTTGAAAACTGGCTTTTCTCATAGTTAGAAAACAATTCATATGAGTTCGTTTTCCAGCAGGATGGGGCATCAGAAGCACACTGGAGCATATTATCAGCACACTAGAGATTGGACCTCCCAAGAATTTTTGAGCAATCACATTCCTCAATGATGGATCATTGGTTCAGGATCTGACAATTCAGTAAAATATGACTGGCCTCCAAGATAGTTGAACCTCTCAGTGTGCGATTTCTTTTTGAAAGACTCTGCTGATGTGCCTCCACTTTTAGCTGTATTAGCCAAACTGAAGATACGCATAACAACATCCATGGAAGTAGTGGATGCAGATATGCTTGCAAAAGTCTGGGACAAATTTGGCTACTGTACAGACATATGCATATCTAAAGTTGGACACATTAACACCTTGGTTTGTAAATAAACTTTGATTAGCTATGTAATAAAAAACTAATCTTAAGTTTTTATGTTTAATACCTTTAATAATATATGAATTTCAAATCAGGTGATTCTTTTTAAAACACTCTGTATATAACATATATATATATGACATATAAATAACAGTTTAATACTGAAGAGAAATAATAGCACTGCAGAGAAAACAAAATCCCAACACCAAGAAAGAGTTGTGCTATATTAACAAAACTTGGCAGGCATGTTTATACATCTGAAAGATGACATATATTCAAATTTCATGGTAGGTGTGTAAGTGTGGCGCTAGTAGTGTCACTATGAATATGCAAATCAGGTTTTCTTTAAATATATGTTGTAAAATTCTTGAGTATTGTTTAAATTATCAGAAATGTCTTCACTGTGCATCATTGCTGGCAGCAGTGGTAAAGGGAAGACCAGGTTCTGTGGCACTACTGAGAGGGAAGACTGTCGTATTTGGCTTATGGCTGCAGCACACTGTACTTTGTCTACAGCAGAAGTTCGAGCTGCATTTGGCACCACAGTAATACAACAAACTGGTACAAATTGGTTACTTGAAGGACAGATCTCAGCCAAATACCCTATAGCATGCATTCCACTGACTCAAAACCACTTATGTTTAGCTGAGCTCATTGGAGATGGAGTGGAGATATGTTGTGCTTTCTAATAAAAGCCTGTTCTGCATTGGTGCCAGAGATGGCAATGTGTTGTTTAGAAGGAGACTATGTGACTGTCTGCGGCCTAGATGCACTGGAGCTATCCCTGGAGTTATGATCTGGGGAGCAATTTCATATGACAGCAGGAGCACTCTTATGGTCATCCCATGTACCCTGACTGCAAATTTGTACATCAGTCTGGTGATTCAAACTGTTCAGTTACCATGCATGAACAGTATTCAAGGAGGTGTTTTCCAACCGGATAATGCTCACCCCACATTGCTGTTGTAAACCAACATGCTCTACAGAGTGTCAACATGTTGGTATCGCCTGCTAGATAACCATATTTATCTCCAGTAAAGTGTGTATAGGACATCAATGGATGGTAACTTCAGCATCATCCATAACCAACATTAACCATCGTTTATATTGAACTACCAAGTGCAACAGGCATGGAACATCATCCCATAAACTGATATCCGGCACCTGTATAACATAAACCATGCATGTTTGCATGCTTTGATTCAAAATTCTGGCGGTTATACCAGTTATTAATGTAGCAACATTTCACATTTGAAATGGTTCTTCTCATGCTGGCATTAATGTATGATCTTGAAAATTTAATCAATTAAATATGTTACCTAGACAAATATACTGCAGAAATCTCATTATATTAATTTTTTCTTGGTGATGGGAATTTTCTCCCATCAGTGTATACTGAAAAGTTTTTATTACCATAATTATTCTGAAATTTTTTAAGTTTATAAATTTGTGGATGACAGAGAACATTTAGTAGTATTGTAATCCATGCAAACAGATGCTGCCAAAACGATCATGCAAGAGAAACTATTGAAATTAAACAGAAGATACACACACATACTCAATAGTCAAAGGTGATGGTGAAGCACGGGTACATGCAGTACAACATAAAATGATTCTTCATGGAAACTACTTCAAAGATCTTTTGGAATGCCAAGAGCTATTAGCTAGTGGGCTAAGAACACAAGCTATACTGCATAAATGCTGCATGGAGTTAATGATTTTGGGTAATGTTATATTAACTCTAGTGATATATTAGGATGGGTATAATACTGAATTAGGATCTGTGGGTCTCAATCTGTATGAGTGTAAAATCATAACATTCAAAGATACTTCAAAGTCATTCTAAAATTCAAGTGTGCCACAAAGAAAAAGAAAAACAGAAGAAAGGAAAGGTTTGCCTAATAAAAATTAAAACATCAAAGATTGGAATGCAAATGGTAACACAATTTTAGAGATTTATTTAAAAATCCATAAGATTAAAAATAAAAAGAAAATTATAATTTGGTTAAAATAATAACAATTCTCTGCTACATGTTTCAATGGGAATCCCTTGGTTTCTTTTCTCACCATTATTTGCTGCTATCCCAAACATCACAGTGAAAGAAAGTCTCCTGTTTTTAATTCATTTTTTATAATTCACTATAGAATCACATTTCATCATAACAGACATTTTAAGGTTAGGTTAGCTTATTTGAATATGGTAATGCACATAAAGGATATGTTACTTAGAGAAGGGATGCCCTTAAGGAGGATTTTCTATGAGGAACTGGCTAATACTCCCATTACATGTGAGAGAAACCACGAAAACCAACAATGCAGGCATGTAACAGACATTTAAAAATAATTATATTTTGTTATGTAAGGAAAATATATTCAAACATGGTCTTGAGAGGAACTGGGATAAAATTAAAAAAAAAATAAGAATGAGAAAACGTTTTTACCTGCATCAGGTGGTTTGTTAATTAGCATTGTGTGCACTGCCTTGAAATTAGGACCACAGAAACACTCAACATAATCAAGAATCTAGAAATTAAAAAAAGTTATTGCATTAACAAGAATAAAATCTTAATTATATTTCTATAATAATTCTTTCAGTACCTTTTCAACATACATAGTTCTAAATAAAACTAGCAATCCATGACTCAATATACATTTTGACAACAGCAGAAAGAAAAGTGTCTACATTTCCAATTCCAGTTTAAAATTTTTCCTGTTAATTAAATTAATTTGACAACAGCAGAAAGAAAAGTGTCTACATTTCCAATTCCAGTTTAGAATTTTTCCTGTTAATTAAATTAACACACTAACAGACAAAATTTATGAATGATGTATAAATGGCCACATAGCATAAAATGCAGGTAGTTTTATGGGCCATGTAGGAATGCTTTTTGTAGTGGGAATGTTCATCAATTATGTGAAAAGAAATTTATTACACATTTAAGTACAAAAGGATATTTATGAAAAAGGTACATTTGTCCTGAGAACAGCTTGTACAAAGAATGCAAATTACTGACCACTGGGGTCTTTTGAGAGATATGCCAATATGAGTATGTTGACTATAAAGTGATACAACTCTCCCACACATAGTGGCATACCAAACATTTTTAGTGGGATTTAAGATTTGGAGAATGTAAAAGCCAGAAAAGATATTACCCCTTTGTCGGAGAATTAAAAAAATTATCCCGTTTCCTATCCAGGTGAACAAAATATGTCACATACAGTCAAAAGCCGTTAATCCGGACTCGTCGGGACTTCGGCGATTCCGGATTACAGATCATCAGTTTAAATCTCGTAAGATGGCATGCAGAAATTCTAAAATTAAAAATATGAAACCTTAATTTATGAAATAAAGAACAATTATGATCTAAAGGGTATCAAAATTTACAAAAAAAAAAAAAAAAAAAAAAAAGCTTAATAGGTTTTATTTTGTTTACTTTATTAAACATTTCTTTCAATGTAAGTTGTTTAAGTTGCTTCATTTTATGTGATAATACTTTCTCTTTAATTCTATAAACAGACATAATTTCTTGCTCAGTTACAAAGTTCCGCTGTTCAAGTCCCGTAATTGCTGTGCCGAGAATACCGACTAACTTGTCAATCGAAATTTTTTCGTTTTCACTAACCTCTCTGTCACCTTTTTCATGTCTTTATCCATTTTTTGCAGCAATTCCGCTTTTTGTTTGATGGACATCGAAACATACTTTCGTTTTGTTGATCCTTTGGGAGCTCCAGCATCGGAAATTCTATTTGACATAATCGAAAGTTCAAGTTTACTTTTATAAAATTGCTCTTACAGTCTGCAAAAAATAATAAGCCGGTTCCACTTCGAAGATTAAGGAACAGCACAATCATCAACATTAACTGAAATAGATAATTAAATAATTTTAGCTTATACCATCCGTTATACATTAAACGCGCACGTGAAAACGTATTCTGCGCTTGCGCACACGCATATGCGCCATCGTAAAGGTCTTATGCGCACGCGTAAACGCCTATGCGCATGTGTCAACGCGGCGCATGTGCAAAAAGTTTTTAGCTTTGAGGTCCGGATTATAGATCATTCTGGATTATGGGTGTCCGAATTAACGACTTTTGACTGTATAAGGTAAATTTGGCATTTTTTTGACAAACGGTTTCTAAGCCAGAGGCTGCGACACATAGTTAATGGGATATGTCTCACACGTAGCAATCGACTTACTATAACACACTTATTATTCTGGAAAACTTTATTATATGAAATAAATTTTATATCCTGTGGTACAGGTTAAATTCTTTGCATAACCCAACATTAGACATTGGGCAACACATATTTGTTCTTTTCTCTATGTTCATGTGCGTACAACAAGCACAGTGGTATCTTAATTTTCCAACTACTGGAAGATGATCCCCAACATTCAGGAGATTCTAAGAACTTTTAACCCAGTAGTAATTTTTAAACTTTTAGTGGGATATACGTGTCCCATTAGTAGTGAAAGGTTTAAATATCCTCATTATCAAGACAATCCTGCACAGTGGCTGCATGATGACACAGCATGTTATCATTTATGAAATTACATGAATTGCCGAAAGCACCACAGAAAAAATAAACATGAGGTAGCAGTGCTTCATTAATGTACTAAGAACCAATCAAGAGCTCAGACACATACATATTTAGTAATATGCAACCATTGACAACTGCAGTGATTCACATCATAACAATACAAGAACCCTGTAGGTCCTTTCTGGTATAACTTCAGTGCAATATGCATTACTACTCTCATGCAAGATCTGTTGCCATCTACAACCATATGGAAAACAACCTACTTTCATCTAGAAGAGCTCATATGACGACTATCATTCTCAATCCAATTATAACCTTCAAGTCCTATCACATGCTTTCTTATGTAAAAAAATCCAGATACAAATTTGTTTCTCGTAAGAAAGGCATGGCACATTATCTCAAGAAAAAGTCCATTCTTAGTTATTGATCTGCCTTTCTTGAAACTACTCTTACCTAGGGAGAGATAATTTCTGTCCAAATAAAAAATCAGATAGCAATTTACCACTATTTATGGAGCTTTGTTTAAACATCCCTCAACTTATACTGGAGAAACAGTTGACGAATTAATTTGATCCTTTCCAAAATCACTGTAACGTAATACCAGACATCAGAAAACATGCTGCCTTCTACAAATTATTATAAATTGCAAAAAATGAGTCCAATGACTTATTGGACAAATGCTTCAGTATCCTATAGCTGATATTATAAGAAATAGGACTTACATATGATACAGTCAAAACTCTCTTCATCTAAAATATATATAGTTCCTTACAGAGAAACTAAAAACTAATGTGTTTCCTCACAATACAGCTTTGCAGAGAGTAGTTTCTATTATATACAGTATAAAATGTCTAACCACAATTTTCACCCTATTACTAATTGCTAGGTCTAAGGTTTTCAGAATGGAAGCATGTGATCTTTCTATACAACTGGAACTGTTCAAACTCTCTCTTAAACATGTTTGCATGGATTTGAAGATGTAATGGATAACATGAGAGATCCAAATACCCAGCTGGCTTTGCCAACACACTCTACAAGTCTGCCTTTTTACAGCTGTAAGACTGGGCAGTGTCAGATAGCAACGAAATATTCCAAAGGCTTTTCTTTGCTATTTGTGTATTTCTTGATACTTATGGTTCCATCATAATTTTAGATAGTTAAAGAACAGACATTTCAGCTGCTTGAACAAAGGTAATAACAGTTTTCACAGCTATATGTGTTGGAATACATTAATAACAGCCTTCACAACTATATGTGTCACTGATAAAATGGGAAGGACCAGTGGTCTCAATTTTTGTTCACAAAACAGTCTCAGATGTTTGATGTTTGGATATGAGCAACTCTCCTACTCCTGCAAAAGTTACAAAGATTAGAAAGACACCATAATTAATAGGATTACTCCTCACTCTGAATGTGCAAAGTGGTTGGTGTGATGGTTAACACATGGCCCAGGTTTATACGAGGGTTGGAACTTGAATAGTGACAACACAGCTGAAAAAAAGCTATGCAACAAAAACAAAGAATATCGCGTATACCACATGTGAACTACATACCTACCTTACCTCTCAGCAAAAAGACTCGTCCTACCAATGTCATGCGCATGCGGAGTGATGCAAAGAACAGATCCTTTTATTAGCTCGTGGTCTAAAGTAAGTGTTGTCAAGATGTTTTCAAAACAAGAACAACGATGTTGGATAAAAATTGAATGTGCCAGAGGTCGTACAGCACGACAGTGTAATCAAGGGCTTCAAGAGGCTTGCGGGGAATCTGCATTGCCTTACAGAACCATAGCAAGATGGATGAAAGCATTCAATGAATGACGCCAAAACGTGGCAGACATGCTGAGGCCAGGTTGTCCGAGTGTCAGCGATGCAGACGTGCAAGCTGTTGCCGCACTAATGGACAGTGATCGCCGCCAAAAGGATCTATCAGCTGGTCAGACAAACAGGATTAGCACATACAACTGTGCTGCACATTCCAAAGGAACGCCTGTCCATTAGAAAATTTGCTTCACGATGGGTTCCACATCAATTGACGGAAATGCAGAAATGGCTACGATACGATGCTGCCCGAACCCACCTGGAGCGTTATGAGCGTGAAGGAGATGTTTTTTTATGCCATATCATTACGCTGGATGAGACTTGGGCCCGATTGTATCAGCCAGAACTGAAACGCCAATCAAACGAATGGCGTCATCGCGGGTCACCACATCGCGGGTTCGAAATTTCATCAAAACCCCAACAATGTGAAAGTTATGGTGATTCTCGTGTACGACTGCGATGGTGTCATCATAACGCATACCGTCACTGTGCAGTATTGCTGCTCATTTTTGGAGCACAATCTCCGACCAGCTTTGAGAAAAAAACGACACTTTCTGCAGAAATTGCTCCTCTCATTTTGCATGACAATGCTCGGCCGCATGCAGCGCAAGCTGTGACTGATTTGTTCAAGCGATGGGGCTGGGAAGTGCTTTACCATCCACCATACTCCCCAGATCTAAGCCCTTGTGACTTAATTCCTAAGATGAAGGAATCACTTCGTAGCACTCGCTTCCAAACTGTTCCTGAGATTCTTGCGGCAGTAGACCGGTCCATTGAAACTCTCAACAAAACAGGCGCTGCTACAGGTATTCTGCGACTTCCACATCGTTGGAAACGGGTTGTACACAATGGTGGCGACTATATTGAAGGACTGTAAAACATGGTGACATGAATCACTTTTGTATTCCTTGTAAATAAATAGTTGCCACTATTAAAGTTCCAACCCTCGTATCATGAAACATGTCTGTAGGGTACTGGAAGTATATTTGTTCCCCGTAATAAAGCTTTCAATGGTAGGGATCATTAATCAGTTGCTCAGTAGGTTTACAATAGTATTAACTCTGGTTGCCCAAGAGAGGATTAGATCTGTTTAAATTCGTGATGAGTATAAATAGTTCAGGTTACTGCAGTACCAAATCATTTAAGCTATCAGTTCATTAACAGGCAGATAGAGTATACACACAAGTTCTTGATGTATCGATCTGTACAGAAATAGCTTTGAGATATATCATGAAAAAAAAAAACCTGTACTGAAGAGAGAGTCTTGGGAAGGAAATAGAATTATATTTTCATTGACCTGATAAGCTGAAACGCTTTTTTTGTCAGATGATAGAATAATTACAGTTTTGCTAAAATTTTTTGTTAAAAAAGTCACTTGTGCTCCAGACTCGACAAATATTGGTGGAAAATTTCACAATTAAAAAAATTAAGGAACTCATTTACACTTTTGTTTTCCAGTGGTGCCCCTTTGCTATTTTGAAGAGGGAGTTCAGGAGATGTTCAGAAGTAACAGTCTTCACCACAGCTGGATCGGGAGATGTTCAGGAATCTGCGAATCTACATCTACATCCACCTCATCAGGTTTGGAATGTTAAAAAGACACTGTTTATGGAATCGATAGCATGGCTGCCGAATTTTAAAGATTTCATTTCTTATTTGAAGTCTTTAATTTCTGTTCTTGCCATTATTTCAATTTCAGATTAATTCCCCGTTTTTTTTTTTTTTTTTTTTTTTTTTTTTTTTTTCCATCTAGTTTCTGGCAGTAAAGTTAGGACTGTTTCAGATGTTACAAGTTTGACCTATTCAGCCACATCAGCAAAAGACACACACAATTTTGAAAGATTGTATTTCTTTATAATGAGGTTCCCTTTCAGATTAAAACTTTGTAACTTCTTTCCTGCATTCTAGATGGGTTAACAATCTGAAAATGCTACATGCAGTTCTTTGCAGTTAACATAAAATGGCCCAATGCAATGTTCCTACAAGCAACTTTCCTGAACAGATGAATTTTTGATCAATTACCTACGAATCATTGAAACTTGAATGAATTATTGGCTAATTCATAATAGCAGGAACTTCAAAGTGGCTTTTTTCATCTGAAGGAGAGGTCAAAGCAGTGTAGTCGGGATAGTACCTTGCTCCTCAACTAAAATAACTCTCGTTTTTAAGGAAGCAGGTCTTCATGCAGAAGCTCATGGATAATTTAACTCACTATGCAGCATCGCATGAAATCTCAAATGAAACTGATACAGAGGAAATAAAGTAAAACACAGCAGATAAGAGGAGAAAAAAGAAGAAATTTCATTGGGGCAATGAGGTTATATGACATGCGTTCACCAATGTGATTCCCTGAGGAGATTAACTATGAATGTGAATGATAATTATTATATATCTTGAGAAATGTTGTTTGTTGAAGCTTTCTATACTTTATCAGTACGTTTATAATAAATGCTGACTTTAACACACTAACATGTAATTTGTAACACAGATTTCCAGACAGATGCATGCTTAATTATTCAAATCACCTAAAAGTAAGAAAGGTCTGTAATTTTATAGAATTTACTGGAATATATTTATGTGTCAGCAGAATCATTACATGTCAAGGTCTTCTTTAAAAATATTTAAACCAAGCACATATCTTAACTAAGATTTTATTATTTCATATATTCTGCTTTAGCAACAAATTTTATAAATGCTCTTTTACATTAAAAATTATTTTACGTTGTACAGAAAACATTCCTGCACCTAAATATGCTATCTTACTGTTAAATTACTCAGTTGCTTTGCAGTAACTCTATCTACCTGCACTTCTTCTTCCTCGCATTTATAACAAATCTTTCTCAATACTTACAGAAAATATTGTGTGATTTGTGTTTTCAGTTATTTAATTTCTAAAGCATACAAGAATTTCACTGTGTGTGTGGGGGGGAGACAATACATTTAGTTTACATATTGTAAAAATCCTTAAGCATGCATAAACACTCACTGACATATTATTTCTCCAATTGATTAAAATTTTAAATATCTTCAAACACATCTTTATTTAAAATGCAAAGTTTTCTTTACCTGAGGCAATTTGCAATACTCAAATAAAATTTCATCAAATCCAAAATCTTGAATCTTATTAACGACTCTCTCATTTGGACTACTCTTACTGAAAGAAATGTCTTTCATAACAGTCATTCCAGGAATTTTGATTTTTTGATCACAAATTTCTTGAAAGCGCTGCCTGAAAATAATTACATTAGATAATATACATTAAAAAATAGTTAAATCCAAATACAATATGCTTAAATTCTGATTCAATTTAATATTTAAAATACGTACACCTTTTTCATGAAGGAATACCGAGTTCAAAATGCAATAATACTTAATATGCCATACAATGATAAGAAAAATTACATTGCATTGCAGATGCAGAAAAATTTAATAACATAACAGTTATAGTACTTATTGTTAAGCCTACATAATTGCATTTTCCCACATTCTCAAATTTTTCAGAGATTTAAGCTTTTAAAAGTATTCAATACACCTTAACATTAATGTTTTATGAATTGTTAACAAATCATAAAGCAATTAGACTGCTATAAAAAAGACAAAGTTAGAAACTAGTCAGTAGGATTAAATTTCAAATTAAAAAATGATAAGGAATGTGAGTTAAAGGGTGGCAGAGATATATTAATACAATAATTTTTTAATAAGAGTTAAGAACAGTAAATTAAAGATTACATAACTTTTGGGCCAATTTTTTTCATAGTTCCGAGTACGCGTGACAGTAAATAACCTAAACATGTACATCTCAAATATGCGTTAAATACATGTGAAAGGATACTTATGTATTAGCTCGTCGATCATGAAATGCCACCAAGTAGCATGATTTAGAGCCAATTACAAATAAGCACAATATACTCACACCATCTCACTTTCATTAGATGTAACCTTGAATGATTCTTGATTAAGCTGTGTTTTGTTTTTAGAATAAGGATAAAATTAATAGCCATTGTAGCCCTTTATTTTTTGCATTTTGAAAGAAAAAATATTAGATGATCTGTCTTCCATAGAACAGCAAGCAGTGGATTATTTTCAAAGTTAAGGAAACCTGCCATCAGATAAGTGTGTACTAATGCACAAAATATGGTCAGCTGAACATGACCAATAAGACAGTAACAAAGTGGAACAATTATTCGCAGGAAGTTTGTACTCACAGCATCCTGAACACAATTTGCAGTAAAACTGGAAAGCCTTAAACAACAACAACAACAACAACAACAACAAAAAAAAAAAAAAGATGAAAGACTTCACACAAAACACAAAAACAAAGTGGGCTGAATACAGATTTGTTCATTAAAAAAAAGAGGCTTCAGTTCCTTCAAATTTCTTACAAATGGCTCAACTTTGGTGAGATCGCCACCAACTACTTTCACGGTCAACAGGATTACACTTAAATAGCTTTAAAAGTTATTTAATGGTTTATTTAATCGTCATTTTCCTAAGAAGCATTCACTAGCTATAAAAATGTAAATAACTATATAGATTTTCTTCCCCTCGTAAAATGCTTCATTTTATTATTATTTATGAACAGAACAGTATGTAGGTGTGGTAAAGATATCCAAACAGATGTTTATTGCCAATTTTACAAAGTCCCAATTGAGTTGGTGACTGTTACGGGGGGGGGGCAGATAATCAAAACCGAAAAATTATACAGAAGTTTGAATCAAATAATGGCTTTAAGTATTGACATATGATAAGTTCTTTAACAATTTGTAGGGATTTTTATTCATTTTAAATAACCGATTTTATATAATTTGTTATTCTTTCCTATAAGTCTTCATTCCCCTAATTGTCAGCGCCAGAATACCTAAATTTGGTAGCACACGTGAAGGAATGTAAATTCTACCTTGAAGAAAGAGTTTAAAAACCGAGGTTCAGTAGGAAAGAGAGAGAGTTAGGCTATTGCCGTCACCTCTGCTGCTTAAGTGTCTGCTCCAGAGTTATTGCTGGTTTGCGTGGCTTAATTGCATTTACTTGCTGCCACTAGTTTTTCAACAGGGGCTTAAGAAATGAGAATTATTCTAAACCCTGTAGTTTAGTTCGACAACTTGTACATATCTTAAATCTTTAGTTAGTTCTTTGGTTTCAGTTGCCTCCTAAGCAATGGTGTAGTTTGTTAGCGTTGAACTGACACATTGTAAAGTTTAAAGAGTTAATAAAGGATACTTTTAACCCTTCTTCTGTGCAGTTACTACTCTTACAGTTTTCACACAGGCGTAACTCTAGTGGACTCTACAAATTAATAACAAAATATTAATAAAAATAGAATTAAGTCAGAAATGAAATACATTTCTTTCTAGCATTTTTCAATGAAATCAGTCCTATTATACTTATGACTATAAAAATAATCAGCATTAGATGAATGTGCATAATCAATAAGCCAAATAAATTACCACAATCAGAAAATGGAAGATAACACACAAACCAAGAATAAAAGTATACTTGTAGCATTTCAAGATTAACAGTACACAAAATTATACTTGTTCCTATTGCTAATAATCTATGGAATCACTTTCTTGCAGTAACTGCAATTCTTTCTGGAACACTGGCAAACTTTGCATTGGTTTATATTGGCTTTCACTGATTATAAAAAATAATGCAGCTGTTCGAAAGCAGAAATCACTGAAATATGAACCCATTCTTTATTATATTATAAATACATTTCAGTCACAGAAAAATATAAATCATGAACTATATAGCATTTGCAAATACATGCAAAAGTTAAATTTTGTATCAAAGTTCAGAATAATGAACAAAAACCTATTTATAACTTCACAAAATATGGTGTAACATGTCAAATTATGGAACACATTTTAAAACTAATATTAACAATCTTATTTAACCTAGTACTTGATTACTAGCCTCTGAAAGTAGTACACATAATTTTTTGATTAGATTAGATATATAATTATGAAAATATTGTTTTTAATCTAGATCCATGAGTATAATTACATAATTTTTTTCCTTAAATACATTTAGACACATATAATGATATTTTATAATTACCTGTATCTTTCAAGACACTCTAATGGAACAAGCTTGGGTATAATTAAGAATCCATTGTCCTCATAAAATAATCTTTGTTCTCCGGGAAAGTTTGCAGGAGTCATTTGTGTATCTGAACTGCCTTGGGCGAGATGGCTTTGGTGTTTCAGAGTGTTTACTTTTCTGAACAACAGCCTATAAATATTGATGACACAAAATTAATAACAGTAATTCATAAATTACTTCATCCAATCACCATTAGTATTTTTCAAAATTATGATCATTTGAAGCAAGTACAAATACATAATTTTTCTCTAAAATCAAGCATATTGTCAGCTGCTCAAAATAGCGGCTGAAATAAATGTCAAATCAAGGTTTAACTTTTCTTAATTTTTGCTAAGCACGATAAATGTTGCTACTTCTTAAATAAATATACCAGATGCCAAATATTGTTCATATACGACTTCATATAAATGTCCAAAATAAAGTATTTAATTTATCTTGTAGAATTTTAAATTGGTAGTTAGCAAGAACATTTCAAAAGTAAGTGCGAGTCCCTTTCATGTTAAAAAATTAACGCATTTTCATTTGGAAAATTTTGTGATTCATGGATTAATATTTTGAAGGTTTACTTTGAATGACAAATATATAAACACAGAAAAAAGGGAACATAAAAAATTCATAAAATACGCACTCTTAATACATTCCTATTAGAGAAATTTACAGTTTAAGCTCAAAGCTTAACATTTTCCAATATTTCAAAATTGTAGATCCAAACAAAGAGTTAATTTACACTTTATTCAGAGTGCTGTCTCTATATAATGTGACATTCGTTTTCTATGCTAACATTACCACAAAAAAAATTCTCAATGTACATGTAAATTAAGACTAGCAATATCTGAAGCTTTCACTAATGTTGAAACAAATTTAATACCTACCTTTACGCAGTCCCCAAATATACGTTTAATATCCATCTTACAATTACTATTAATATTACATATATCTTACAATAACTTTAAAAAAATCTGAAACAGATGAAGTCTTTTAACAAAAATATAGAAAGTCAGAATTTCATGAAAGCATCTGATAATTCTAGAACAGTAGTTCTCAACCTGTTTTTTTCCCCCATGCATTCCTCTTTCATTACTGCTAGAATATCCTCCCCCCTTCTTTTTCAAAGCTAAAAAAAAATACACATTACACATACAATTATTTAGATTATTTTTTAATGTTTGATAAATTAAACTACAATTTCAAAAATATTGATAAATACCAAAATTTGAATAAAAGTTTTTTTTTTTTTTTTTCCATAAACTAAAACTAAATACTTAACAGATAAGTAAAAGGATGACCACATTTCCCTCTGAAAATATGGAATCCCCACCAATTGAAAACCCCTGTTTTAGAAGATGTTACCAATTAGAAAAATAGATGTAAATCAATGATAAATGCAAATATGTTGATCAATGAGATAGAACATATATTTTTGTTGCAGTTTCTGTGTTACTTTTCGAAACATATTTTACTACATGCAATGAATACACAGCGCTATTTTTCATAAGATTTTAAGAATTGCTTCAATAGCTTAAATTTGGCTGATTCGTACATGGGGACATATGAAACACTAATGCTTCATCTTAATAAGCCAGGGGTAACATAGCATATACACAGTAGGCCATTAAAATCAATACATCATGAAGAAAAGTCCACAACAAACTGCAATTCACATGAAAGGTAGAAAATGCTGGGATTTCCAAAAGACTAGGATTTCATAGCATGTGAACATTACAGGCGAGAATAACAACTCAAAGCAGTTTAAAAAGACAGGCTAAATTGACAACTTTTTACTCGGAAATCATGATCACTCATTGCTTTTTTTGTACTGGATATAATGTTATGACTCCCATAAGAAGAAGGACCTACAAGGATGCCTCACATTTTCTAACTTACAAGAATTGCAGATTATTCTATCATGCTTTCTGTTTGGTTGGATGCAAAAACTGAGCCTGGGCCTTTTAAATTTGCAGGCCCAGGAGGTCCACAAATAATTACATGCAGGATCTCAAAAGCCTTCACTAGGCAATGCTTGAGACAACAACCTTCTTGTTCAAATTAGTACTAGAGATCAAATAGTCACACAACAAGTACTCTGGATAAATCATATGGATGTGTTGAACAGTACCAAACAGCCACATGTATAATGCAATAATATCTGCAACATAACGGATTACTATTTACATCATACTCTGTTAACAAAATGACTTTTTCTTTGACTTCTTATGATGCTGCTTGTATACAGAAATCAGATATTATAATAATGCATTGCATCACATGGGCACATCAATGATAAAACATTGAATTTTTTCATGAATTCCACTACAACCATCATGGCTGTATTTGTGTGTGAAAGCACTAAGGGGAATGAAAGCTGGAAGCTTCAATTCTTTGCCATCTTATTGGACTGATGGTACAGTGTGCCACATCACATTCAGCTCTAGTCTGTATATCTTGTACCTTGACCAGCCATCATTACTTTACCAAGATTTTATTGCCCATGGTTTTGCTATATCTGGTGTTTCTGCCATTCCCCCTTTCAAAAGGATAATGCAAGACTGCATGCTGCACAGCAGTCTGACATTTCGTCATTCCACAAGGTGTTCTACTCCTGCCTTGACTAATTAATGTGTTCTCTCACCAAATGAAAACATCTGGTCAGTGGTTGCAGAAAGAGCGGCTACCAGTATGACAGCTGAAATCTGGCACATAAGGGAAGCTACATGGATCATAATATGCGCCATCTGATGTCTTAACTTCAAGCCTATTTGTATAACAATTGCTAATGTTGGAGAGGTGGATGCTTGAGATATTAATTTCTAGACATTCTGTACCTCAAAATTACCTAAAGTTTAAATCATTTCATCTTTCTGTTATAGTGTATTGGTAAAATAAATATGATTCAAATAACTGCTTTCTATCACTGTGTAGGAATTTTAATGGGCAGCAGAGTATTTCTGCCACCAGTTTGTCTAATTATAAAAAAATATTTTGCACTTTCAGAGGAGCATTCATCACGAGTTTCGAAGCATCATTCACTGTGGGCCCCTCTTCTTTTGAGGTAGTTCACAATAGTACATTCTGAACTATTTCCATCATAGTCAAGTGTTGCACAGCATTTATAACAGATGGTACCATTTCCTCCTTGCAAGAAAGGCATTTGTACAGGCACCTCCACAAGGTCTTGCTCAGCACTTGATGTGATCAACATCTGATGGCAACCAATTCCTTAGTCGTTCTTTTCTGTCCATGCACTTATGACATGGGGCGTTGTTCTGCTGGAAGATTCCATTTGGGAAGACAGATGCCATGTAAGGGTGCAAATGATCCACAGTTATGTTCAGATAGTCTGCAGCTTTCATGGTCTGTTCTATCATAACTAAGAGTCCCAGAGCCACCCAAGAGAATGTCCCCCCAAAGCATAATATCGCAACCACCAGCCTGTGTATGACCTGCTGTACAAGGAAGGGGGGGTCAACTGTTTGCCTGGAAAACGGCATACCCTGACACGACCATCAATTACAAATAAAAAATTGTGATTCATTCAGCCAGGCAACCATCTTCCACTTATCCATGGTCCAGTCTTGATATTGCTGAGACTACTGCAGGCATAGTTGATAATGACACTTGATCAACACAAGTGGGAAATCTGCGTACCCACGCAACACTTTTTGGTGTCAGGAGTGGTGTATTGAATGCCAATCACAAGAGCGATGGAAGAACAGTTAAGGTAATTCATGGCAACCTTTGCTGCATTTAAAGAAGAGATGAAAGGTTCTATTAAAGACGAGATGCGGCTGTAAAAGAAGAATGAAAGCGGGACAGGAATCCGTTAAAGCAAAGATGGAAGCTGGTCAAGATTCAGTTAAAGCAGAGATGAAACTGTTCAAAAAAAGATGAAAGCTGGTCAAGGAGAAATGAAAAGAGAAATTACCTGCATAATATAAAATAAATATGAGGTTATGGAAAACAGAATGGATGTTAAAATAAAGTTGGACAAATTGAAGAGAAAGTTTCTTCTGTCAAGAAACAAATAAGTCAGAGATATTCTGCCGTAGAACAACAAATTGATTACAGAGTTTCTTCTGTAAAAGAACAAATAGAAGAGAGAGTTTCTGCTGTGTAACAACAAACTGATGACAGAGTTTCTGCAGTCGCAAAACAAGTTGATACCTTAATGAAATTTGTAGCGACAGCAGGGAGCAGTACAGATAGTTTTGAATTTTTATCTGTGCCTACTCATCCCTCTCTGAAATTATCCATATATGATGGGAAGACCTCCTGGCAGTGTATAAGACACAATTTTCTACAGTGGCAGATGCGAATGGATGGGATTCCCAAGAAAAGGCCCGTCATCTCGCCATTTCTTTAAGAGCAGATGCAGCTGATATCTTTAGACTCTTCCCGAAAACCAAAGGCTAGATTTCGAAGCTCTGTCCAGCACGTTGGAGCTGCGCTTTGGCGAGAAATGTGTAAAAGATTACAGCAGGCTTCAATTAAAATCCCATGAACAGAAGCACACAGAAACACTTCAGGAGCTCACCACGGACATTGAAAGGCTGTCCCATCTCGTCTTTATGGAGTGCCGAACAGAAACAAGGGAAATCCTGTCTCTGCAATACTTTATCGATGGCATCAGGGATACAGAAAGCTCTACAAATGGCGGATATAAAGGACATAAAAAGTGCTATGATGTACGACATGAAATTCGGGGCAACCCAGCAAACAACTCGCAGAGACCAACACCTAATCAGAGCTGCGCAAGTCCGTGAGACAGTGGATCAATTGGTGGTTCGTTTAGATGATTTAACAAAACAAGTCAGTGCTTTGATAGAGCAGGAGTGAAAAGAAACTAACTCTAAAGTGTTGTAAATGTGGTACTGAAGGCCACATGCAACAGCATTACAGAACACCCCACGGCACGGAAAATAAAACAGATGATTTGACAAGACCAGTCAGTGCCTTGAGATGGAATAGGAATGAAAAGAAACCAACCCTAAAGTGCTGGAACTGCGGTGTTGAAGGCCACATACGAAGGAACGGCAGAACCCCCCAGAGCACAGAAAATAAGATAGACGTGTGTGTGTGTGATTATGGCAAAGCCTCGAGGGCTATCTGCCTAAGAGAAGGGATGCCTTCGT